GGTTACTGGGTAACAGCCAAGCCCACTGGTTCAGTTTGCCACAAGCAGCCCGGGTGGCCTCTGACCCTCCACACCTACTCTAGGACCCTTGACAGAGTGACCGCAGGGACAGCCCATTTCCAGCAGCAATCAGAGGACCCACGGGCACGTTCCCTCTGTCGTGTCCGTGGGCTCTACACTTCGGTGCACTGTTCTACAATACAGTGTGCCTCAATTTAAGGGTTTCTTTAAAAACAAAAACAAAAAGCCTTCCAATTATGGAGAATTCAAGGATGTATGAAAGAGATGACATTCCCACGATGTAGCCAGAATTACACATGTAAACAGTGATGATATATTGAGGCTGTTGTGAGGCCCAGGGTGGGATTTGTGACAAGACATCCAGAATGAACGGCCAGACACGGGAACTACAGAGAACAGCCCGAGCGAGTATCCGGAGATGGCTCAGAAGCCAGACGCTGCCCGGCAAGGAGACCAGCAGCAGGATCTGACTCAGGCAGCAGACACGCCGACCTGGGCTCCGGTTCCGCAGCGAGACCCCAGGGTCCAGGAGGAGGGCGAGGGAGCACCCACGGCTCTGATTTAGCCTCCAGGTGGCCAGGAGGCAGGCATTAGGAGCCCAGAGATATCGCAACGGCTCTGAGGTGCGGACGGGCCAAGACGGAATGCTCGCCAGAGCGCGGCAACGTTCACTTGATAAAACAATCTGATCACAATTTGCTTGAGGATCTTCATCTGCAAAATTATCGATTCATTTATAGCAAAAGCTGCCTTATTCGAAGTAAACAGGACCACTGGTGGGTTAACTGAAATGCCCTCTCCTGGGAATGGGGGAACCACACACACGTGCCGGGAACTCAAGCTAAACGTCGACCTGGCGCTCACCAGGCCCACGCCCTCCCCCAGAGGATGCTGCACTGGGACTTCCGGTCGCTGGTTCCTAGAAGCCTTCCAGAACTTTATGGATCTTTTTTACCCCAAACTCTCTCAGATCTCGCATTCACAACTAATCTGGCAGTGATTTATGATTTATCTTTGAGTCTATCCAAAGCATTCAAAGCGTTTAAACCAAATAATCATTTTTTAAAACATCGTTCATCAGTTTACTTGATACTGAATTGAATTACATCATAGCAATGACACATGAAGTTGGCACAGAGACCTGATGAAAACAGACCCACGTGGGTCCTGAAGGTCGCCCGCCTGCCAAAGTGCTCAGACTGTCCCAGGCGCCACCACATACACCCAACACAACAGGCACAGACTCAGGGTGCTGGGCAGGCAGAAGCAAGACAGAGCCCAGCTGTTAACCAGGACGCCGGGCCCTGGGAGAAAGGAGTATCCAAAGGAAGAGGAGATGACCCCACAGAGGGGTTGAAAGAAGAAAGAGGGATATAGATGCCTGAAGAAAAAATAAGCCAAAGAAGGAGAAAAAATGAACAAAAATGGCAAAAGACAATCACCTATTTTTATATTGTTTGAGCTGCTCCTCATTTTTCCTGCCAAACTGTCCTCCTAAGGGAACTACATTCAAGAAGAGAACGCGTCCCCTGCTACACAGGGCTGACATCAGGAGCCACTCCGTTCGCCTCGTCGCCCTCTGGAGAACTCGCAGACTGAGGCTGGGAACCCCACAGAGCAGCAGTCTCTCGGCACTTCCCCTTGAAATCAGCACAGCCAAGATCAGCACTGCTGACCCCGAAGAGGTCGTCCAAAATGCATCCGTGCCACCCTGGCCAGTCTGGCTCAGCGGTGAGAGCGTCAGCCCACGGACCAGAGTGGTGGGTTTGATTCCGGTCAAGGGCACATACCTCGGGTGCAGTTTGGGCCCCAGCCCTGGTCGGGGTTGTGCAGAAGGTGGCCAATCGATGTGTCTCTCTCACATCAATGTTTCTCTCTCTCTTCTCCTCTAAGGAAAAACGTCCCCAGTAAGGATTAAAAAAAAAAAAAAAAAAGTATCAGTACCTAAATAAATCCAAAACACTGTAGGAACAGGGAGCTAAACTAACATTTTATCAGTTTATAAAAAGAGCTAAAGGGCCCTGGCTGGTTTGGCTCAGCATTTGGAGTGTCAGCCTACGGACCAGAGAGTTCCAGGTTCAGTTCCCACTAGGGGCACGTACCAAAAAAAATTTTAAAAACTAAAGGCATTATTGAGTTAAAATAGAAAACTAACTGGCTTGTTCTTGCTGGAACAGGCAGGATACTTTGTTAGATCCTGCAGCTGCTTGCAGCCTACTTTCGAGCAGCTCCTAGTGCACAGCCCCTCGACCCTCCTCAGAAGAAATCTCCCGTAACAGACACGCAATACGGACGGATTCCATGCATTTAGCATGAATGTGAGAAAGAACTACTTCTGTGATTATGACTCAGAAATAAAAATACAAAAAGATGTTTGCCACGTGTTATTTATAACAAAAGTAAAAAAACTTAAATTAACAGTAATAGCTTGATAAATTATGGCAATTATATTATAACGTTTACAGTTGCTTAAAATCAGGGGTATACAAAATATTTAAGAAAAACAGAAAATACCCGTGAAACAAGCGGATGTCGTTATATCATCTAATAACAGCCGTAAGGGGAAATGTGTGCGTATTTACAACAGCTTTAGAAAATACAGTGACATCAACAATGACTCGTCCTGGCTGAGGGAATGTGGGCAGTTTTTCTTCTCAATACTCTTTCTATTTACTCCCTTTTCCACAAGAGGAACTGTTTCTAGAATGTGAAGAGGAGGAATGAGGGGGCGCAGAGAGAGCTGTGTCTCCAGGCAGGCAGGTCCACAGGCCCGCGCACCACTCTACACTCGATTAGCGGTAACAGCTCTCGCAGCCCAGAGTAACACACGTTCAAACGATTACGGAGGTTTTAGATGTCTTTTCAGAAATATTTATGTAGTTTACTTGTGAAAATTAAGCCTGTCTGGTCTTCAAGCAAGTCCACAACACTCAGTGAAATGCAGCAACCCCAGCCCTTGGAGCTGCTAGTCCAGAACATCACGTTCCTCCCAAGTAGGAAATGGTGCGCGCGCACACACACACACACACACACACCATATACCCAACAAATACGCACACACACCATGTACTCAATACACACACACCACACACACACACCACATACCCAACAAATACACACACACACCATGTACTCAATACAGACACCACACACACACACACACACACACACACAACACATACCCAACAAATACACACACACACCATGTACTCAATACACACACACCACACACACACATATACCATGTACCCAATACACACACACAAATACCATGTACCCAACACACACACACACACCATGTACCCAACACACACACACCATGTACCCAACAAATACACACACACCACATACCCAATACACACACACCACGTACCCAACACACATACATACCACACATACACACTGCACACAACACATGTACCACACACACCACGTACTCAACAAAAGCATATTCACATCACACACACCACACGCACCACACACAAACACACCACATACCTATGAAACACACATACACACCACACAAACACACCACACACAACACAACACACACACAACACAATACACACACACACTGTGGCCACCACTGATACATCAAGAGGCTTCAGTTGTCCAAGCACACACCAAAAATAACCAACTTTGCAAACATGTATAGAATGACAACTCCCACCACAGTATAGAAGCACATCTGGGGATTTCAGTGGGAAAATGAGAAAGAAACACAGGTCACAGACAGATGCGCGTGGACCGTGCGCCCGCGAGGAGTCTCGGGCACACAGGAGCCCCGCAAGCCAGGCAGCACAGCGCATGCTCCAGCGCGAACACGCCGTGTGACCACAGACGAGCTGGTCCCCGTTCTGTGTCCCAGGCTTCTCGTGCGAAACGGCGAAGCACAGACACCATGTCCAGGATTGCTGCGAGCAGCGTCTGAGCTCATCGAGCACAGAACACTCGCTCACAGATGCACCTGGCACAGGGAGAAAAGCGCTTTGCGTGAAGAACCCATCGACTGCCTTTCAGAGAGCTGTGTGCACAGCCACAGCTCTGTGCCCTTGTGGGGAGAGTGGGCACAACCGACCAGAGGCGACACCAGGAAGGGCAACCGTACCCAGGTTCTGCCATTTTTGCTCTTGAAGCTTTTCTAAAAGCTTGAAACTATTTCTGAGCAAACAGGTAGGTAAAAAGGACGTCTACAATTCAACCGTGGATCATAATACAATGACATGGAACTGCACCCTCTGGTTTTATTACCTCAGAATACTAACCAAGGGCCGTGGGCTGTGGCTGGAGACGTCAGGTTTCCAAAACAGCCGGAGTGACAAGACCACCCATCACTCCCTGCTCAGGAAGCAAGTAAAACTGCCGGCCCGGCTCTGTCTAAGACTGACCAGCCCTACCGAGCTAAGAATTCAACACAGCCTCTGGGAATGAGTTTCTGACAATCTGAGTTAAAGCATTAAAAGTACTCAGCACCTCTCTCGGTTCTTCCGCCATGGACTCCGTGTCCAAGATTACGGAAATGCTGCTCACTGTCATGCAACCACAGACACTGGGGTAGCGGTTCTTAACCTGGGGGTGGTGACCCCTTTGGGGGTCAAACAACCCTTTCACAGGGGTTGCCTAAGACGTAACAGTAGCAAAATTACAGCTATGAAGTAGCAACCAAAGCAATTCTATGGTTGGGGGTCACTGCAACATGAGGACCTGTATTAAAGGGTCGCGGCCCCAGGAAGGTGGAGCACCACGGGACTGAAGTGTGGGCCCTGCACACGGACAGGGCAGACGCCCGTCTACGAGCCCATCCAAACCCTGACCCGGAACACGCAGCCACAGCCTGTGGCAGCCGCGACACCGAGGCCCACAGGCACCCAGGGTGCCCTCCGCGACCTCTCCTCAGTTCACCCTGACTGACGGGAAGGAGGTTACAAAGTGAAAGAAAACTGGTAAATGATAACAAAGATGGAGGAGATGAAACTAACCTGAAGGTCCCTACTTCCCAAGTCCCGGTTTGATCCCTGGCTCAACAAGGTGGCTACCTGCACCTGAAAACGCCCCACCTGGAAGTCCAAAGAAACGCAGCCAGTTAGTTTAAATAGGCGAGCATTTCCTGATTCTCACTATTTAGCTTATTATTTTGTCCCTTAAGAGATTATTAATGAAAAGAATAATAACTTTAGTGGGGCCCTGGCCTGTCTGGCTCAGCAGTTAGAGCGGAGGCCCGTGGACCAGAGAGACCTGGGTTCAGTTCCCGCTAAGGGCACGTACCTCAGTTGCAGTTTGTCCCCGGCCCCGCTTGGGGTCGTGTGGATGGCAGCCAGTTGATGTTTCTTTCTCTCTCTCCCTCCTGCTCTATCTGAAGATGAATGCAAAAATGACCTCGGTTGAGGACAAAAAAAACTTTAGTAGGGAATTGGTAAAAAAAAAAAAAAAACACACACATTTTTCTGCTGCTCGATTTCCACGACGCCGCCCATCCTTCCCTTCACTTGGTCTGAGAACAGTCGAGACTGCCTGGCGCGCGTATGAGCAGCAGCAGCCCAAGCGGACCTGCTCACACGCCGCAGATCCAGAGAAAACTGCGAACTCACCACCCCTCCTTGTTCTTGTCTCCGCACGGTCAGGCCACCAGAGCTGGGGTGGCTTCTCTGCCTTTAAGGCACAAAGGCTGTGTGTCTCTTTCATGACCAGGAGATACATTTGTCATCACTTTGTTTCTCAAAACTGTCAGGGGAAAGAATTCTCACCCCGGGCGATGAGTCTCGGTATTTCAAAGCCTCCGTCAGGATGACGTTCTCCACCCTCGCACTGATGTTTCAGCCCGTTTCCTCAGGCGCACCATCTGCTGACGCTGCACCAGCCTGACACGCAGTACCCACCACGCCCCAAGCCCGTCACTGCACCAGCCTGACACGCAGTGCTCACCACGCCCCGAGCCCGTCACTGCACCAGCCTGACACGCAGTGCCCACCAGGCCCCGAGCCCGTCACTGCACCAGCCTGACACGCAGTGCCCACCAGGCCCCGAGCCCATCACTGCACCAGCCTGACACGCAGTGCTCACCACGCCCCGAGCCCGTCACTGCACCAGCCTGACACGCAGTGCCCACCACGCCCCGAGCCCGCCACTGCACCAGCCTGACACGCAGTGCTCACCAGCCCCGAGCCCGTCACTGCACCAGCCTGACACGCAGTGCTCACCAGCCCCGAGCCCGTCACTGCACCAGCCTGACACGCAGTGCTCACCACGCCCCGAGCCCGTCACTGCACCAGCCTGACACGCAGTGCCCACCACGCCCCGAGCCTGTCACTGCACCAGCCTGACACGCAGTGCTCACCAGGCCCCGAGCCCGTCACTGCACCAGCCTGACACGCAGTGCTCACCAGCCCCGAGCCCGTCACTGCACCAGCCTGACACGCAGTGCTCACCAGGCCCCGAACCCGTCACTGCACCAGCCTGACACGCAGTGCTCACCACGCCCCGAGCCCGTCACTGCACCAGCCTGACACGCAGTGCCCACCAGCCCCGAGGCCTGTCACTGCACCAGCCTGACACGCAGTGCTCACCAGGACCCCGAGCCCAGTCACTGCACCAGCCTGACACGCAGTGCTCACCAAGCCCCGAAGCCCGTCACTGCACCAGCCTGACACGCAGTGCTCACCAGGCCCCGAACCCGTCACTGCACCAGCCTGACACGCAGTGCTCACCACGCCCCGAGCCCGTCACTGCACCAGCCTGACACGCAGTGCTCACCAGGCCCCGAACCCGTCACTGCACCAGCCTGACACGCAGTGCTCACCAACCCCGAGCCCGTCACTGCACCAGCCTGACACGCAGTGCTCACCACGCCCCGAGCCCGTCACTGCACCAGCCTGACACGCAGTGCTCACCAGGCCCCGAACCCGTCACTGCACCAGCCTGACACGCAGTGCTCACCACGCCCCGAGCCCGTCACTGCACCAGCCTGACACGCAGTGCCCACCACGCCCCGAGCCCGTCACTGCACCAGCCTGACACGCAGTGCTCACCAGGCCCCGAGCCCGTCACTGCACCAGCCTGACACGCAGTGCTCATCACGCCCCGAGCCCGTCACTGCACCAGCCTGACACGCAGTGCCCACCACGCCCCGAGCCCGTCACTGCACCAGCCTGACACGCAGTGCTCACCACGCCCCGAGCCCGTCACTGCACCAGCCTGACACGCAGTGCTCACCACGCCCCGAGCCCGTCACTGCACCAGCCTGACACGCAGTGCTCACCAGGCCCCGAGCCCGTCACTGCACCAGCCTGACACGCAGTGCCCACCAGGCCCCGAGCTCGTCACTGACAGGAAAGATGAAAACCACTCATGACACGGGACTTCATCAAATCCTGTTTGTAGAGAACATTTACCAGCAACTTCCCTCCATCCTTTCCAGCTCAATCCTGGTGAGCAGGTAGCTCATGCACGTGAACACCCTGTGCAGGCCGCAACGGTGCCCAGCAGCACACGAGCACCTGGGGACGTGGCGGGGACGTGGCCTCCCCAGGGCACCACGCTGCAGGTAGGCGAGGTTACGTTTGGTCCTTCGGGTTGGAGGAACAGAGAAGTGCACTCAGATGGCCCAGCGGGTGCCCGGCACCAGCACTGTCAGCGAGGCACCTGAGACAACGAGGGCCCGGCCGTGCGGCTCAGCGGCTGGGCGTCGACCCTGCACCAGGAGGTCACTGGTTTGATTCCTGGTCGGGGCACATGCCAGGTTGTGGGCCCGATCCCCAGTGGGGAGCATGCAGGAGGCGGCCCATCAGTGTTCTCTCTCATCGATGTTTCTATCTCTCTCCCCCTCTCCCTTCCTCTCTCTCTATAATCAATAAAGAAAAAGAAAGAAAAAGAACGAGGGCAGAAGCATGAGCATGTGGGCAAGGCTCCAGCCAGTTCCGGGCTCTGCAGGAAGAGGGGCGCTCAGGCCAGAGGAGGCTCCGTGGACAGCAGAGCCGCTCAGGAGCAGGCAGCAGGCCTAGTGCAAGGCCGGCCGTCTGTTCCCCAGCAGCAGGAGGCCCCGATCTGCGCTTCCATCTGCTCTGCTCTCTGCTCCTGCTCCCCTTCCATCTCCTCCCCTTCCATCTCCTCCCCATCCCTCTGGACTCAGACCCTCTGAGCACCAGATGGAAGGGGTCCACAGACCACCCCGCTGATGACATGCCTGAGAACAGTCTCCTCGAACGTGCTCCGTGTGGGTCTGTGTGCGCCTGGCCCATCCAACTGGGAGCTCTCACCGTCCTCTGCAGGCTCGGTGGACAGCTGCCCACTGACCATGCTTCTCCCCACACCTCACGTGATGCTTCCTTGAAGACAGAACCCGACTGGGTCGGTCGCTCGGCACTCAGTGGGCAAAGCTCTGAGGCTGGCTTCGTGATACTGTCCACCCAGACTGGCGCCTTTGGGTCAGGACCCGCAGCTGTGCAGGTGACAGTGCCGGGTCGCACGGCACCGAGCACGGTGACCAACTCGAATGCTGTCCTTCCTCTGGCAGAGGCCACAGGTCAGCGACTTCCCTCAGGACGGGGTGTGGGCGCAGCGGCCTTCTCTTCCCAGAAAGGAATGGGGTGGGTGCTTGCAAATCACCACATGGGTCACAGTGGCCGAGGCACATCAAAGAAGGACGGTGACGGGGGTGAGGCACACTGCCGGCTCCTAAATTGCAGTCGAAGAGGCAGGACCGGAAGAGCGAAAGGGGGCGCGCCGAGGCCTCCCGCAGCCGGCACAGGTGTCTGCCCAGGGTGCGCAGCATCTCCAGGCGGCTTCCTCCAGCTGAGGCCCTGAGGGTGGAGCCAGAACCTTCCCGCTGCCTGACCCTCGCAGAATGGAGGCAGGAGAAGAGAACAGCAGAGACATCAGAAAGGACTGAGCCAGGATCGGGAAGGGTGGCAACGGGCTTCGTTCTGGCATCAACACCGAGGCGGGCTGACGGGAGAGGAACAGCTCACACTATGCACAGGTGCTTCTCTGAAACAACTCAGCGCCAACCACGTGCCCAACGGGCCAAACACCTCTGTCCCCGCAGGGCTGAAGTGGGCATAACCTCCCATCCCAGACGTGTGCGCAACACTGTGCTCTTTGCACTAAAGATCAACTGCACGCAGCTGCTCGGTACAGGAACTCACTTCATCCCTTCATCGGCTGCTGCGAAGCTGCGCCGTTCCTTCCTGCTCCTTCAAAGCGAGGGAAACAGAACGCTCTGCAGGCTCGACTCAGCGCCGCCACGGAGCCTGAGCCCCCCTGACCGCCCCGCTGGCAGCGGCAGGCGCACTGTCCACAGAGACTCAGCGCCGCCACGGAGCCTGAGCCCCTCTGACCGCCCCGCTGGCAGCGGCAGGCGCACTGCCCACAGAGACTCAGCGCCGCCACGGAGCCTGAGCCCCCCTGACCGCCCCGCTGGCAGCGGCAGGCGCACAGCCCACAGAGACTCAGCGCCGCCATGGAGCCTGAGCCCCCCTGACCACCCCGCTGGCAGCGGCAGGCGCACAGCCCACAGAGACTCAGCGCCGCCATGGAGCCTGAGCCCCCCTGACCACCCCGCTGGCAGCGGCAGGCGCACAGCCCACAGAGACTCAGCGCCGCCATGGAGCCTGAGCCCCCCTGACCACCCCGCTGGCAGCGGCAGGCGCACGGCCCACAGAGACTCAGCGACGGCCACACCCTGCAGACGTCCACGCGGACAGCGGTGACTCTTCACAGGTTTTCTCAGAGCTCGGCACAGCTGACAGAACTCTTCGTTGTCCACCAATTTCTGGGGCGCTGGGGACAGTGACAGAGGAAACACAGTCTGCTCATGCCCCCTGGCCTAGGCTTCGGCATGCTCCCACAGAGCCTCCGTGACTGGTCACACCCACACACGGGAGCACACAGCGCTCCAGACGGAGCAGAGAACCGACCGCGCGCAGACACGAGGGTGCTGGCGGCCTCGGCAGAGGTGGGGCTGGGCTGGGAGAGAAGAGGCCGGCTCGGGCTGCACGCAGCGCACGGGGGCGGGCGGGGCGGGGCCGTGGGAGAGAAAGAAGCAGGCTTTCCTCCCCGTAGGTCAGGCCAGAGCTTGAGCATCGGTCTTTTTCAAAAGCTCCAGGAATGATGGAGTTTTTCAAAGGTTAGGAATCATGTACTATACCAGGCTCTCTATTTCATTGTGGGAAAAGAGAAGGATGGGAAAATAAGAAACATGATTAAATGCACTTTAATCCCCAGCTAACATTCACCTTTAATTAATACACAAGCACTTTAGGACCCTCCAGAAGTTACAGGCGCCCCCGTGAATCCAGGGAATGGTCCGTTATGTGTGTTTCGATTCTTCAGACTCTCATTTGTGTTGCCAAAGTAAAAGGTGAGTCAGTGTGAACCTGGCAGAGCAGCCGTGCTGAGCCCCAAGTTCTCGTCTGCGAGGAGCAGCTGAGAACACAGACCGCAAGGAACTGCTTCTGGTTCTGATGCAGCAAAATTTAACGTGACAACTTTAAAAACAACACTTTGTGATGAGCATGTAAATTTTTCCCTCCCACTGCCAGCAGGAGGCACCCAAACCCCTCACTAACAGCATTCCTGGGTCCCGAGACAGCGACCACTGGGAAGACATGCTGAGGTGTCTGTCCCGGGCTGTGGGCAGCTGATGAGGTCTTCTGTGTCTCTCAGACCACAGCAGCCACATCGCCCCCACACGCACCCCGGGCTGCAGGACTGTGCCGGACAGCCTTGCTCCCGTGTCTGGCCAAGACACGGAAAGCTCGGAGCAGACGCGGCTCTGTGGACACCTTCCTCCGTGGCACTTTCATCAGTGGTGCCGACGGCCCCGTCCGGCAGACACCTGCGGGGTCCAGTGACGCCATCCACCGCAGCCGAGCTGAGGCGCCGAGCCGAGGGTCCAGCCACAGGCGCATCAGCCTCTTGTTTCTCTTCCAAACCCTCCGAACCCTTCCTGGTGCAGCTGTCCGAGGTCTGGACACGCCGCACGAAGCCCGCGGCCACCTGAAACCCTTGCTGACTCCGGCCGGCACACAGGTCTGATACAAACTCGGTCAAAACGCTGCCTCAGACCACAGCAGGGCCTGCAGCAGCGCTGAGAGGACGCGGAGGAGGAGGTTTTAATTTATACCTGACACCACCCTACACACCCCAATATCAGTTCAAAGGACATCGAGCATCTCTGAAATGTGTGGGATGCATCGTGGGGGAGGCAACCAATCAGTTGTGTCTCTCTCACATCGATCTCTCTCTCTGCCTCTCTCTCTCCCCCTCCTGCTCTGTCTGGGGATAAAGGGAAAAATATCCTCGGGTGAGGATTAAAAAGAAAAAAATTAGTTAATAAGAAAAATCAAGTTTAGTAGCATTAAAAAGAACAAGCCTACAGAGAATATTAAAACCTGGGAAATGCCAGCGAAGTTACGAGGTACTATTTCCAATAACCTAACGTGTGGATCTCTCGGCATGTCAGTAGCACTACAGGAAATCGCCAGTTGAAATTAACAATTTATAAACGTATTTCTTGGAATACCACTCACATACTCTGTACATAAACTGACCAGTATGGTTTTTACACTGTTAATAGCAGACTGAACACCCATCACATGGCTACAGCTAAAAACAAGACCAGCTGGCCTGGCCAGTGCGGCTCACTGATTAAGCATCAACCCTGCACCAAGAGGTCGCCAGTTCGATTCTCGGTCGGGCACACGCCCAGGTTATGGACCCGATCCCCAGTGGGGCCATGCAGAAGGCAGCCGATCGATGTTTCTATCTCATCAATGTTTCCATCTCTCTCCCTCTCCCTTCCTCTCTCTCTAAAATCAATAAAGAAAAAATAATTAAAAAAAACAAAAACAAGACCAGCTGATCCGACTGGGACCCCACACCTGCCCTCTTCCTGAGAACGTCGACGTGCCCCTTGTTTTAGACTTGATGTTGGCGGGTTCCTTCGGACCAGTAACATACCTGTGGTGCTTACTCAGCTTTATTTCCTGAGGCAGAATTATTATACTTTTCCCCAATGTCCTGACTTCTGATTTTCCTCAGACTTCATTTGGAAAAACAGGTAAATGTACCCAGAATACGTCCAGTTAACTACTGCAGATGAACCTATATTAAACGAATGCTGAGCACCTGCATGTAAGGCACCAGTCAGGCAACGAACAAGCTAGATGCCATGAAAAGTTTAATAAGACATTTTAAACTAACGCATGGCCTGCATCAGAACGTACGGGAAGCTAACCCATGGCAACGAGAACCACGAAAGCGCAGGTTCCCACCGTGGCAGCCTGCAGTGGACACAGGCAGCCAGCCTTACCTTGTATCTCATCTTGGGACATGAGTGGATGTAGAACCCCATGTAGTAGTAGCTGAGCTGGGGCACCTTTTCATGGAGCTGCCTAGTGAAAGCAATTTCTCTGCCAAAGAAGAACAAAGATGAAGACACGTTAACTCTACTTCCAATATTCAAAGTACTATGTGATTTGATGACAAATATTTGATAAAATTTAATACTAAGCTATCAAAAACAATCCAAGTGTGGAACGAAAAACTTTTTTTTTTTTTTTTTCCCTCACCCGAGGACATTTTTCCATTTTTTGTACAGACAGAGTGGGAGGGAGAGAGAGGAAGAGAGAGAGAGAGAAACATCGATGTGAAAGGGACACATCGAGTGGCTGCCACCCGCACGACCAACCAGGGCCGGGGACAAACTGCAACCAAGGTACATGCCCTTAGCGGGAACCGAACCCGGGTCTCTCCGGACCGCAGTCGAGCGCTCTAACCGCTGAGCCAAACCGGCCAGGGCAGAAAAACTATTTTTAAAACACTGTGAGATGCCCTGGCAGGTGTGGCTCAGCCGTTGGAACATCGGCCTGCAGACGGAAGGGTGGAGGGTTCGATTCTGGTCAAGGGCACTACCTGGGTTGCAGACCTGATCCTCGGCCCAGTCGGGGTCGAGCGGGAGGCAGACACACCGATGCCTGCGTGACCTGTCAGGTGGTCTAAAGCAATCTCACCGTAGCGCAGAGTACACGCCCAAGGACAGGAAGGAGTAATCGGGGTCGTAGTACAAGTACACAGACGACACGCAGTGTGGAAGGATGTCGATCACCCCCACCGCGATGATCTTCCCGTCAAGCCAGTACTGCTGGTGAAACGAGCCATAGCCGCAATCTGGGCCGTTGGGGGGATTCTCCGGCTGTGAAGACGCAGGCACACAAACGTGAACAGTAGGTCATTTTTCTCTTTACATTAAAAAATCTTAGCAACTGGTCTATTATACTTTTATTTTACTCAGGTTAGCAAGTCTTAAAATTCCCTTTCTGTTGCCACTGTCTTCTGCAGTCATGCCCTGCAAACCCTTTTACTGGTAGAAACACTGGCCAAAGAAAAAAATGAAAAAGGGAAACCAACTGAAGACTTTTTTTTTAATCCTCATCCAAGGATATTTTTCCATTTTTTGTTCAGATAGAGTAGGTAAGAGAGAGGGAGGGAGAGAGAGAGAGAGAAACATGGATGTGAGAGAGACACATCGACTGGTTGCCACCCACACAACCCCAACTGGGGCCGGGGACAAACTGCAACCGAGGTACGTGCCCTTAGCGGGAACCGAACCCGGGTCTCTCTGGACCGCAGGCCGACACTCTAACCGCTGAGGCAAACTGGCCAGGGCCCAACTGAAGACTTTTCAACTTGTTTTAAAATCTGCCAGGGTCAGTGAGTATTGAACCACCTCTTTCTGCTCCACACCCGGGAAAGCTGGGAAAGGAACCGTGTGTGAGAGAAGATGGAGAACGAGGAAGGAGAGGGCGGTGAGCGCGGCCGCCCCAAGGGCGTCGGAGCCACGGCTGCTTCTGGAGAGGGTGCCTGTGCCACTGCAGTGGCTGGAGCCGTCCTCCCCTCGGCCAGAGTGAGGCTATTTCCGTGCCCATCTCAGAGTGACTGCAGCCCCACAGAAGATATCTAGAGAGTAACTTTTTCTTGTAGTTATTTGAGTGATATTTCTCATTTTAAAATTCAACATGATTTAAAATTTAACTTGTTAAATGAAAACTATGAAGTAGCATAAAAAATGCTTGCTGGCACTAAACGGATGTTAGAGATGAACAGTCGAAGTGAACAAATACACATCTATCATTGTCACATGGTTAAAACCCCAGAGAACGTATATGGACAAAATCTAGAAGAGAATGAAAAAAAAAAAAGGTTTCCTAATATTAAAACCAGAAAACAAACATTACAAGACAGTAACTCTACAGAACTCTCTCTCTCAGGAACACAGAAGCAAAAGTATTCACCAAAATATTAACAAACCAAATCCAACAATGTATAAAATAACTGTACACTACAACAAAGTAGAATTTATTCCAGGTACGCAAGAAAGGTTCAACATTAGAGAGGTGATTTTTAAAAAGCCATTAATGTATTCCACCATGAAAACAGGCTAAAAGAAAAATCCTATGACTTTATCAACTGATACAGAAAAAAACATTTGACAAAAATCTGACACCCATTCATGACTAAAAGCTCTCGGCAAAAGCGTCCATCGACCTGATAGAGAACATCTACAAAAATCCACAGCTAACGTCACACTTAATGGTGAAGAACTGGGTGACTTCTCCCCCAAACCGGGAACAAGGCAAGGACCCCTCTCTCATCACTCCTAGTCAATATCACACTAGAAATCCTAGCTCGTGTAAATAAGACAATAAAATATAGTAAAACATATGCATACAGATTGGGAAGGAAAAAATAAAACTGTCTTTGCTCCCAAATGACATGACTTGCTAAGTAGAAAATCCCCAAAAATAATTGGAACTAATAAGCGATTACAGCAGGTCATGGGATATAAGGTTCACATACAAAAGTCAACTGCTTTCCTACGCACCAGCAAAGACTGGAATTGCACGTGAAAACACAACCACCAAAAAATTTATGAAACCACCATAAAAATTACATACCTAAGCATAAATCTAACACAAAATTTGTGCAGAATCTACATGCAAAAAGCCACAAAACTCTGACGAAAGAAATTAAAGAGGATGTAAATAAAGGGGAAAATGTTACAGTTCACAGAGTGGAGACTCAATATTGTTTAGTGTCCATTCTTCCCAAACTGGTCTATAGATTCACGCAATCCCAGTCAAAAGCCCGTGGATTCGACAAGCTGATTCTGATGTTTACGGGGAGGCACCAGACCCGCAACAGCCAACATAACCCTGGAGGCTGGAGGGCAGACGACCCGCCCGCGTCGAGGCTCGAGGAGGCTCAGTGACGAGGAGCGTGGCACTGGGGAGGAGCAGACAGACAGTGGAAAGAACAGACGCCTGCAGAGAGCCGCATGAGCCATCAGCTGACCTCTGACAAAGGACCAAAGACCGTCCACAGCGAAAGGACAGGCTCTGCAACAAATGGAGCTGTGACGACCGGACATTAAGAGCAAAATGGCAAAAACTAGACAAAGACTTTACATCTTTTTTTCTTTTAATTAATTTTTTGTTACAGATGTTTCTCCTTTTCCCCCATTTGACACCCTCCTCTCCCCCACCCCCAACGGCATCACTGTCTATGGCCATGGTTATGCAGACATGCCTATAAGTTCTTTGCTTATCTCTTCCCTCACGCTCCCCTGCCTCTGAGGTTTGTCAGTCTGAACCCGACTTCTATGTCTCTGGGTCGATTTTGTTCATCAGTTTGTTTTGTTCATTATATTCCACAAATAAGTGAGATAATGTGGTATCTGCCTTTCTCTGACTGACTTATTTCGCTTAGGATGATACTCTCCAGGTCCCTCCATGTCGTCTCAAAGGATAAGAGATCTCTCTTTCTTACAGCTGCGTAGTACTCCATTGTGTACACGTACCACAGCTTTTGTATCCTCTCATCTACTGATGGGCACTTGGGCTGTTTCCAGATCTTAACAACTGCAAATAGTGCTGCTATGAACATAGGGGTGCATATACTCTATCTGATTGGTGTTTCAGAAAGACCTTACATCTTGAAAAAAAACTCAAACCAGATCACAGACCTAAATGTAAAATGCAGAACCACAGCTTCCAGATGACAGCACAGGAGAAAATGTGTGTGACCTTGGGTTTGGTGATGAGCTTCTAGAAACAACACCAAGCGCATAACCCAGAGAAGAAATGACAGAGAAGATGGACTTTACTGCCATCAGAAACTACCCTGTGAGACGCACTGCTAAGAGCAAAGCATCACACCACCACCGGAGGAAACCTCGTGCAGCACACACCTGATCAAGGCTGGTCCTCAAACACACGCTCTTAACATCCAGCAGGAGCGAACAGAGAACCCAGTCAGACCTGAGCACATGCCTTGCAGGAGCCGCTGTGACGGGCTCCCAGGTCTGCCACGGGCTGGACCCGCACAGCAGCGAGGGGCCCCGCGGCGACCAGAGTGGCTGCAATCACAGACCGTGAACCTCAATGGCGGGTCGGGCTGTGGAGCGACAGGACTTGCTGTCACCAAGGTGGGGACGTCCGATGGCAGCCTCACTTTGGAGGACAGTTTCTCACAAAGCTAAACACAGTCCTAACACACAAAACAGCGAGCTCCTAAGTACCAATTGGTCTGAAAACTTAGCTCACTAAAGGCCCAAAGGCCTGCAGGCAAATGTTTAAAACAGTTTTACTCATAATCAACAAAAACTGGAAGCAACCAAGATATTTTCAACAGGGGACAGACACTCGGTGGCCCACCCACACAACGGGTAGTGTCCACCGACAAAGGGCTCAGAAGCGCGCTGCAGCCCTAGATGCACACGCCAAGAAGGCAGCCTGGAGACACTGCACCGTGAACTCCAACCGTGTGCGAAAACCGACCACAGGAGGAAGAAGAGCGGGACCAGAGGAGGGGGAGGCAGCTCAGGGAAGCATCCCCCAGAATACTGCCGCAGTGGTGCAGGGCGCAGGCCTCTGTCCCCGCCCAGAACCTGACAGCACAGCGACCGAGCGTGTGTAGTCAGGCGTTCCGGAGGTCAGAGCTCCCAGAAAGGGTGGACAGAGACTCTGGGGGGCAGCCTCACTCAGGAGGCTGGGGAGGGGCAGGGGCTGCGCCAGGTGACCCTGGGGGTAAGCAGGGAGGCACAGAGATCCTCACAGAAGCACCGGCCCCGCCCTGGCCGGTGTGGCTCCATGGTTAGAGCGCTGGCCTGCGGTCCAGAGAGACCCGGGTTCAGTTCCCGCTAAGGGCATGTATCTCGGTTGCAGTTTGTCCCTGGCCCTGGTTGGTCGTGCGGATGGCAGCCACTCGATGTGTCCCTTCACGTCGATGTTTCTCTCTCTCTCCCTCCCGCTCTATCTGAACAAGAAATGGAGAAATGTTCTCGGGTGAGGATTAAAAGAAGCAGCAGCACCGGCCCTGCTGGGAGCAGCACCTCCGCGGAGCAGCACAGGCCGTCCGCTCTCCCGGGCACGTGGGCACTGGGCCTGCGCACGGCGGTGGCGGAGGAGGCAGGACCCAGGCTTCTCACGGTCTGCGTGGGGTCCACAGGTGAGGCGGGGAGGCCAGAGTGACCCTGTGGGGATGGGTCGGATTAGAGAAGGAGCAAGCTCCATCAGGGAGAGTCGCAGGTGCTCACGCAGGCGGCAGTGTGCCCACAGGCACTGCTCTGTGAGACAACACGGCCTAGAGAATGACACCCCAGGAGCAGCGAGCACACCTGGAGCCCAGACCTCCCTTCCTCCACTCTGCAGTGAAAGAGCCAGAAAAACAGAAAGAACCATTTCTCTTTGAAGAAATGGCTGATCCCAGGCCTGGGGCAGGAAATATATAAGATGAGCCCAGAGTGTGTTGTAGTGCCCGAAAGTAGGGAAGGACTCAAAAGAAGAAAAACAAACCACACTGATGAAGGCCTATTGAAGGGTAAAGGTCAAGTGAAAGAGCTCCCAAAGGCCTGAGCTGAAATAATCAGGGCATCCAAATAAAGCAGCAATGGGCTATAACCCGAAGTGTGAGAGGCACACCCACGAGTCCACACTGACATGCCCCTGAGTAAACTGACTGACGAGGAAGAGAGACAGCTCTCCCGTGAACCCAGGAGTGTCCGTAGACACGCAGACACGCCTCCACCTAAGGCAGGAGCAAGCTCCCTACTGCTCAGTGTGGGCTGCACACAGTGACTTCCTTCTGAAGAGTCGGGGGGGGGGGCACCTGCACAGGTGACCAAGGACTCGCCAA